ACATCTTGAATTGGACCCGGAAGCAAACTGGTACCCAATGCAGCTCATGGAGCAGAGGTGTTATATGGATCCGTCTTCAGGCCCCAAAAATCGCCTGTGCGGCCGCATTCTGGACCAGCTGCAGCTTCCGGATATTCTTCAAGGGTAGCCCCATGTAGAGCGTGTTGCAGTACTCTTTCTGGGAGATAACGAGGGCATGAGTGACCGTTCGCAAGGCATCCCTTATATAATTGATAAGTAGCATACTGTAGCTCCATTCCTAAAGTAAAAAATATATATATATTTTAATTGGGAAGGGATATGCTCTTTAAAAGGAAAAGGATAGTGGAAACTTTATCCTGTCCCATGAAGAAGTTTCTCAGGCTTTTTGAGAACATTCCCTTAAAATAAAATGCAGAGTCCAAAATCAGATTAGTCAGGAAGCCCAAATTGAGCATTTGACTACGTTTGATTTCAGTCTCATTTTGCCCTTCATTGTCCACAAACAAATTGGCTTCCTGAATATAATTGCTTCCTCTTTCCAGATGCATGATTAAAGATTTATTTCCGGCTCCTAGTTAAAGTTAATTTTGATTTGTTGTGCTGTATGGTAAATTAGATCAAACTTGGAAGTTGATGGAACTATTTCTAACCTGAAGCTGCTTTTTCGGGGAGCCTCTCTTGATTTATGTTCGGTCCTGGCTTCTGCCCCCTTCTGTCTCTTTCCTCCTTGATCTGTGCTTCTATTCTAGCCTTTATCATAAATATATTTGATGGAAATTAAAGTCCTGCACCCCTGGACGGTTTTCTTCTCTTTCCACATCCACAAATCTTTTCTATTCCTGCCTTTCATACCTCCTACAATGGTAAATCCAAGATGATTTTAACAATGTGAGTATAACAATATTCAGGATTTCATACAGGTTTTATTTAAATGCTATGCAGACATTGGATTGAATAGTCTAACATCTAGATTCATGCACAACTGAGATGGAGTAGAAATAACCTGCCTTGTCCATTCCTAGTTTTAGAAGAGGGATTACAGGCCATATTTAAAAGCTCAATACTGATTTTATGTAGTACTAATAAGCTACCTTTTAATTATCTTAACATAATTCCTATGATGGCTGCAACACACGTAAAGAGAGGCAAGATTTCAGTTGCTTTGACTGTGGACATTCTTTTGGCTTTTTTGACCCCCCGAGACACTCTTGTCTTTTTTCAGCCTCCTTCCACTTTCTTTGACTAGTGATAATTCAAGCATTAGTTGAAGTAGGCAATAGCATGGAGCCAACGCTGGAAGCTGTGCATGGAGGCCCTGCTTGTATTGGACAGAGGACCAGCTGGGAATACCAGATTGGGAAGCTCAGGAAAAACAATTCCAGAAGAACCCAATGGCAAACCATAGTATTGCCCCAAATCCTGCATCAATGCAGATCACATTGAACTCAACTTGAAGGAGCCTTTCCTTAATACTTTGAGGCAAACAGGTTTGGGACAGGGTGGAATGGGGAAATATGGGGACAGACTGGCCCTTATTCCATTCTTCTGGGATACAGTGCTTCTGATAAATGCTGTTAATATTTTTCAGATATTAATAAATAATATATATTATCCGATAAATATTAATAATGTTTATTATGAATATGACGGATGGCCTAGCAGAGAACAATGCAAGATTTCTGTTTAGCTGTTTGTGGGCTCTTTCAAGAGGCAGCTGTTTGGTTCTACTAAGAAATTAAAAAGGAAGTTGAACTCAACCTCCCTTCCTCATCTTGTCAAAAGCCAAAGCAGAGTGTGCAGAAGACTTTGGGTATGAGTCATGCCTTAAGATCTTAGTGGGAGTTGCCTGACCATGGTTAATTCAGTTACTCCAATTTTCTGCATTCACCCAGTCAAATAGGCTAAAATGGCATTGGCTACTCTGCACCTGTTTCCTTCAGAAAGGTAATTT